ATAGTTCTAGTACAACTTGTCTTTTCCCACCCCTTTCAGTTTCCTTTTTAGATAATTTGTTACATCGTTGATCTCATTAATCTGCCATATTTATTATGTAAAGTTCTTAACTAAATGCACAGCGTAGTGCTAGGGGCTATAGTGATATAGAACAAAAAGTGTGGTCCCTTCCAAAGATCTTAAAGTTTAGTGCTAGTGTTATAGCTAGATATATAAATAGCACAGTTCAAACTGCTTTCCTTATTAATGAAGATAGAGTACCCATTTTGAGATGGGTACCCTTTTAATACAAATAATGACTAATCTTGGTTTTTTTTTTCCTCTCCCACTCCCCACCTCCCCATTTTTTAAAGATGATGGAAAAGAGGAACCACCAACCACATTACTTTGGGTTCAGTACTACTTGGCACAACATTATGACAAAATTGGTCAGCCATCTATTGCTCTGGAATACATAAATACTGCTATTGAAAGTACACCTACGTTGATAGAACTCTTTCTTGTGAAAGCTAAAATCTATAAGGTAAAAATCTATTCCCCTTTTTTCTTATAAAGTAATGAAACTTACAAAATTTTTTCGTATATTTTATGGATTCTAAATGCTATAAGAACAATGATTATTTAATGGCTTATAAAATGTGAAGCAACAAGTATAGTACATTTCTCAGTCTGATTACTTTTAGGCTTGTGGTCATTCAGTATATACACACATGCATACGTATAGTTAGTTACATATATGGTTATTCATGTTATATACTCATGCATTCACACACATACATATCTGGTTATTTTCTTGGTTTTAAGCAGTAAGACTATAGGTAATCGAAAGTGATTATATTTGCTGTAAAATGTTTCTGTTAACATTTGAGTATGATCATGTATCAGTATCTGGTAATCTTAATGAAACTGAAGGTTCTACTATGGATTTTACATATTGTGATTTCTTTTGCCTCCTCAACTCCTGGGTCTTGAATGAGAATCTCTAATTATATGATCTAACATCATCTGAAAATAAAATTGGATCTTCTCTATCTTAATACAAATATAATTTAGTAATAAAAGCTCTTGGGGAAGAGATTATAAACCAATCATTTACTTACCAAAAAGTAATGAAATTAAGTAATGTTTTAAAAGCACTTTTCAAAGCCAGGTGATGTTCATTAGTTCTGTGGCTTTGCTCAATGGACTAGTTAGGTGAATTAGAATGGGGATTGTGGAATATCTACTAACAGTCCTAATCAATGATGTTTCTGTTTCCTTTGGAGTAGAAATTTGGCCATCACTTTGCCTTTTTATAACCTTTACATTGAATTATGTTGTTCTGACTTAAAGATTTCAATTTTTATTTATTCTTTGATTCAACTATTATTTTTGAGTATTCACCACTATGTCCCAGGTACTGTTTAGGCAACGAGGTTATAACAGTAGACAAAGTTATTAAAAAATAAGTTCAGTTTTTACTATTAGAGAGCTGATAGCCTACACGGCCAGAAAGGTATCAGAACTTATATTATGGTAGAATGTATGCATCTACATTGATTTTTCAGAGTCAGAAGAATACCTTTCTTTCATTTAGAGTTTAGTTATTTATCAACGGGTATTAATAACTAGTTACTTGCATAGAAAAATTAGCATACTGACTGGGTTTATTTTGTTTTCATACACTATAAGCATGCTGGGAATATTAAAGAAGCTGCAAGGTGGATGGATGAGGCTCAGGCCTTGGATACAGCAGACAGATTTATCAACTCCAAGTGTGCAAAATACATGCTAAAAGCCAATTTGATAAAGGAGGCTGAAGAAATGTGCTCAAAGTTTACACGGGTTTGTACAGCTAGTGTTCTTACTTACGAATACACAATTAATACCATTATACCTTACTTATTTTTCAGAGTTTATTTCTAATATTTTTAATAACAATGGTCAGGATTTTAATTAAATCACCTTATCAGAAAAAACTGAAATCAACATTAGTATAAAATATTATTTTCATTTTAGATGGTTGTACAATGGGTTTTTNTGTTTTTTATCAGGGGAACTTCTGTTGCAATTATGTCGTTTGGAAGATGCAGCTGATGTTTATAGAGGATTACAAGAGAGAAATCCTGAAAACTGGGCCTATTACAAAGGCTTGGAAAAGGCACTCCAGCCAGGTAGTATTGCTTAAAACTTCCTTCTAAGTTTTGATTGCGTCTTTTGTTAATATATATTTTACTAACTCACTGGAAAGCATAACTTAAAAAAATGATGGTAAAGAATTGGTTCAAAATCTGAATATAAAAGTAAATTTGCAAACTTCCATTTAATCTGGCAGACTGAACATTTTCTGAAACCTTTTCTGCCTCAAATTCATAGAAATAGTTAAAAAAAATTATAGAAAAAACTTGGAAAAAATCACAAAAGCATTAAAGCATCGAAAACATGAAAGGGCAGTTTCCACCGACAGAAATGGAGATGTCTCCCTAAAGGAAAGGAGCAAACGTAGCTTCTGTGATAACCTATGGCCACCGCAGAGTGGCCTGCCAGGGGCAATGAAGCAGCCAAGCGGAGCAGTGCTTCCCTATGTGGGACGGAGGACTCAATTTCCGTCTCTTAAATCAACTTGGGTCTAAAGACTCTCTTCCCCTTCCCTCATCACCCTCTCCCAGGAAGCGGACCCACTTGTGAGGACAGGCCCATGTAATCTACAGACAGACCAGTTTCTTAGCCAAGATGATCTGATCTGAAGCCATGTTTCCCTCGAGACTGGTAGTGAGCCATTCCTGATACATCGATGTCTGTAGGAGAAACCTCATTACAAGGAATGTCAGACTGTCATAGGAACACCAGCACAGGAATAATATTCATCAGTTCCAGTAAAAGGGAGTATAGAGATAATGGAGGGATGTAAGATGAAGATGGAATTACAGCCATGAAATATGAATAGTTATGTGAAAGTACCAGTTAGGAATCTGGGAAATGAAAAACGTACTTAGTGACATAAAGATCTTAATAGAGTGAATAGAAGACAGGCCACAGCTGAGGAAAAATTAGTAAAGTGAAAGATTGACTTAACTGAGGGAAGTTCTCAACTGAGAGTAAAAGAGAAAATATAAAAAAAATGGGGAGAGGGCCGGCCGAGTGGCACGATGGTTAAGAGCTGGCTTGGGATTCCAGAGGGCCCCGGTTCGGATCCCACATATGAGGGCCAGTGACACTGCCCTC